ATTCCCAAGTCCACTGCCTTATCGCATGTCGATTAAAAAATTCGCGTTAGGATCGTGTAACGCGTTCGCTGTAAGACTCGAGAAATAAGACGCGATTTTTAGCGATCGCTGTTTTTTCACGCTCATACAAAATCAATGACTCTCAAGTATTTTGCTATAGTTACTATTTATTCGCGTTTTCCGTCTAATATCAGTAAATGAGCCACGCTACTTTTACCGCGAACGCAGACGAATGGCGTACGCGCGACGCGACTAAATTAGTTAGGTTGTAAACTATTATTAAGATGTGATAAGATTTTGAAAATTTTTCGAAAAATCAGTAAGAGTTATATATCAGGCGCGTAAGCAAAACAAAACGGTAAATAGGATTTGCACGGGAGACGCGCCGCGACGCTGTATCATATCACGATCGTAAGAGGAAAATACTATCGCGATGTGACAATTATTTTTAGAGCAGACTTTTCTGATCAAAATAAGACGTTGCACAACTTTGTGTAATCTTGCGTTCAAAGTTACAAGCATTTTCCTACACGTCCTAAAACAGACCAACGAATGCACAGCGTTTGCTCTCAAATCACGTTGTTTGTTTGAATATGCACAGTGCGGGGCACTTTTTTTAAATATACTTCAAGCTAGAGATCTCGGATTGGTTTTATTCTAAATTGACACATAAGTGCGTGGGCTGTTGGGGCCAGATTTTTGAATTAAGCCTTAGTTTTCTAGAAAATCAAGGATCTCTACAAAAAATTTGAATGGATTCTTTGGGGTTTTGAGGATCTTGGATCTCTAGAAACGAACAAAAGACTTAATCAAAAATCAGATCCCATCAGTCCACGTAGTTAGGTGTCTAGTTTAAAATAAAACCAGTCCGAGATCTCTAGTTTGAAGTATATTTAAAAAAAGTGCTCTGCAGTGGAGGGTGTATTTTTGACCTTGGACGCTGGGAAACCCCTGAACGGGAAGAGACAGCGAGGAAAAAAAATTTCATGATCACAATCACATTTTGATATGGCAAATATTTGCTGAAAGTGGCATCAAAATTGGATGTAAGACAAAAAAATTTTTCCTGACGAGGGGGCCTTAAGTTTCAGATTATTGAGATTAATCATAAGCATTCTGATGAAGTTGATTGGTATCCAAGTTTAAGTTGAGTGAGAGTCTTGTTTATTGTCAATGCTTCTGCCAGTGCTTCAGCTCCTCTGTCGGATATTTGATTTTCATGCGTCCTGTCACAGTAAATCTCACAGTAAATACGCAATGTCAGTGACGATAGTTGCGTCATACAGGACAACTGTGGCTGCACGACTTCAATCAGTTGTTCTGGATTTATTTAGAGCAACGATAGCAAGCTCAAATTCACCAATCTGTCCTTAGGAAAGTGGACGAAGAACAGGTCAATGGGTTGGGAACTTTCCAAACACAGAGAATGGACCTGTGCCATTGACGGAAAGTGTTTGAGAATAAACTCGCACCCGGATATGCCGATACGACGAGAGTTTATGTCAAATTGCATACTACCGAGTAGTCTGTCGAAACGGTCGTTCAGTCCAACGAATGAGTGAAGAATGTCATAAGTCTCCAGATACTCGAAGGTCTCAAGAATCAACTCATTCTCAAGTCATTGAAGCTTTGTCATGTCTAAACAAATGTGCATTATTGAGCGTTCAGATTCTTTACTTCTATGCTATGGAGAGAGACTTTGAAGCCTAAAAGGAAAGAATTAATGGTCTTTCAAGGTGTATACTCATTCGCGAACACCAGTAATATTACGTACGTGTGTAGTAGTGTAGTAGTTACGGATATGTAGCGAAAATTGTTATATGATATATTAATTTGGATACTGCCACTATCTTGTTCTGATAAGGCCTGCTGCATTTCTCTGTAGGATACAGAATCAACGTTTGTATTCATTCTCTTGCCAGTTGAAAATGAGAGAATTGAATAGACGGAAATGTCAATATCATTTACGTTGTTTCGATGACTCCGTTCTGTGTTTCATTTTTGTCGCCATTACTCAACAGGAATGAAATTCATTGTTTGAATCGTGACATAATGAATAAGCAGAAAACTGTTCTGACACAACGTCTTCTGTGCAGAGGTACACTACTCACTTCCCAGGTCGATCATTCCGGCCGCCGGAAACGTCGAGGAACCAACCGGTTTCGTAGTATTCCGTCGTTGTTCCGGTCGTTTTCTTTATGTTCCGGCGTATTCCTACCATCGGATTCCGTCGGGTTTCCGACGACTTTTTCGACTGGAATCGGTCGGAATACGTCAGAAACAGAACGGAACTGGCCGCAGGAACAATCAGCCGGAATCCGGTTACAAGGAACACGCCGGAACATAAAAGGAACCGGTCGGTTCCGACCGGGCAACAATGACCTGGGCTTTGAGGTGTAGAAAACGAAGACAAGAGTGTTTTTCTCACAGAAATCTTTATGGATTATTTGTATTTAAAGCTGACTTATTCACGAACATATACAATTGCCCGATATGATTAAAATCTGATTCATCCTTACTAATTAGTTATTTAGTAGAGCTCGATCTAAACATATTTATTGTAAACTTTCGGCGACATAGCTTCACAGGAAGTCCCCCAAAACCAACAAAAGAAACAAACGGCATAATCAACTTGGAAAGAAACGTCCACAGTTCAGCATGAAGCCTGCGGCAAGTGGCCTGTTATAGATAGCAAGTTCTGTATATACGAATGTCTGTTGTTTCACGGCGTGCGGCCTATTGGATACACAGACGCACCATGGTACTTCTCAGATGTCTTGTGGAAAGTGGCCAGTTGGGAAGATTCAGGCACGAATCGAAGTTCATGCTCCGAATAGTTTAACTATTCGGAGCATGAACACTGCTACACTAATAGTGTAGCATGTAATTGTTTCAAGTGCTATGGATATAGTTGATGCAGACAGGAATAGAAAGTAAGCAACGATACAGATTAGGAGTGGTGACAGTTCCAGTTCCGGTAGTTCTTAAGAACTGATCACCAGTTCAGTTCCTGTTGAACGGAAACTGCTTACCAGTTCTTTCCAAAAGAACGGGAACTGGTGACCAGTTCTTTTCAAGAATTCAAAGTAAAATAAAATCGATATAGCTGGTTATATTGACTTGGTTTAGTCAACTAAACGCACCACCTACCACTGGCGTACCAGACAAAGTCAATGTAAGGTTCACCGGTTTTATTTTAGTTTTAATTTGAAAAAAACTGGTACCAGTTCGCGCTCAAAAGAACTGAACTGGAACTGTCCCACCCCTAATACAGATACATAATTCCTTAAAAAAAAATATGCCCCGGGTGAGGATCGAACTCACGACCTTCAGATTATGAGACTGACGCTCTACCTACTGAGCCACCGCGGCGACAACTTGTGTACTATGCCTAAAATATTGAATGTGCTGTATCGCTTAAATGTGTACAAAACTAACGTGTAAATCGCATTTTACTGATCATTTTTTCGAGAATTCCACTGAACACCATACACGAAAGAGTTCCCTTCTTGAACATAGTTGATTAAGGAATAATGTATGACTCTATATGATCGTATATCCAATAACTATATGACTGTCATAAATAAAAACAAAATGTAAAGAAAATTTTTCACTCAGGATCTTGAGTGAAAGATTCAAGAATCCAAGATCATGAAACATCTTGGCTTATTTCACTCAAGATCTTGAAATTTCTGTTCCCATGATCTTGGAATAGATCTTAAGTACAAGAATTTCTACTAGGGATACATCTTACAATATTTTCATAGTAAAAATAAATAAATACCTCGTCTTCTATTGCTTATTATATGAAATAAAATGCAGTAAATAACCGTTTTTGTGTCCTATGGTTGCGGCACCATATCATTCCAGATGTCACTATTTTCACTGTTTTCAAACCAGTGTGCATAAACAAAACGTCCAGTTGAGTTCTAATAGGTGAAGCACTTTCCTTTATAGATCCAATTATTAAAGCTTAACTTTTTATTAAAACAAAACATGAAGTTGTTTCTATGGTTACTGTTCTAGAATGTGTATTCTAGCATTTCCTTCCATTTTATTTATTGAAAGTCTTCATAATCGGGTATGGAATTGGAGACGAGTTTCTCAAAAGTAAAATGGCGGATAAAAAGAAGAAGGGCGGTGGTAAAAAGGGTAAAAAGAAAAAAGGTGGAGAAAATGTGTATGAAGCACTCTTAGCCTATAAGTAAGGATAAATCGTGTCTCTTACATAAACTTGTTTGTAGAGTTTTCAGCTTGTTTATGTAGAATTAGTGTTATCGATAAAGAACTAGAAGAGTGGCGCTATAAAATTTATCAAATTGAAGAAGATAATGAACAGCTGAATGGTCGAGACGCCGTACTTAGAGAAGAATGTGCAACGAGCATGAAAAAATTGGTGACAAATGCACTGCAGTTCGATAAAGAAAATATTAGCTATCCAACAGTGAGAAAAGAAGATGTAAGACGAGAAACAGTCATTTTTGAAATTGTATCCAAAAAGTTCAGATTAAGCTTACAATAGAGACGGGTTAAGAAAACGTAACCCGAACCGATTGTGAAGACGCGGACCCGAACCCAACAACAGTTTAACTTTCTTGAATGAGAATAGTGTTTTCCTAAAACAAGAGCACATCCTAAAAACGGCCAGGACAACTGTATCGTTTATCCTTTGAGATAATTAACCGTCACATGATATTCTGCATAGTGAGCATATACTGTAGTGCTTGATGCGATGAAAACTAAGGCAGAATATTTGATAAGTGAATGAACTAGCTGATATGATAATATGAATAATATCCCGTAGAAGAACATTATCTTTCTGAAAAAAAGCCGACTCTCCAATCTTCCCGCAAGGATTCTCTAGCTGGTTCTCTAGTTTTTCTTTGTCTCACAAAGGAGAAAGCCCGCACGTGACAAAGCTAATTATCTTCTTTGTTTTCTTCCCGTATCAGAATGTTTTCAGCCGGAAAAAAATACACGCAATACCACCTCTAATAAAAAAAAAATGTTATCATTGAAAATTGTGCGGTTTGGAAAAACATTGTTTTCCTTCAAGAAGAAAAGTTCAAAATAACAAGTGAATTTAGAAAGATATAGCAATCAAATTTAATTAATTATTTAATTAATATTAGCATACTATTATCAGAAGTACAGAAGAAACTGCACACAATGTTCCTTTAGAACAAAAAAAGTCATAACTTTCGAAAGAATTGATATGGGTCCTCCTTTAAGGGTTTTTATCAGCTCACTTTCCTCCATTAACTGGCATAATATCCTTAAAAACAGGGTTGGGCATCTGAAGACCTTGCCTCGTTAGTGAATGCAGTTATTTTGAAATAAGTATTTCAACTAAAACTTCTAGTAGGGTTAACTTTTCAACGAGTAATTCAAAACTGAAATTATTATCTATACTTCAAATTGCATCGCAAAATGTTCAACCCGAACTCGACCCGATCATAGGATCGGATCGGATTGTAGGTCTCTAGCTTACAGCTATATTCATTATTTTTTATTTTCCAAGGTCCATGCTACGTTACATGATAAGGTCGAAGCAGCAAAGCACGAGGAAGCTGGAATCAAAGGTATATCTATTTCTCTTTTTTCAATAATTTTTTTGATATCTCGTCCTTCGATTTAGAAATTCACGATCAAATGCTTCAGGTTGAAATTGAGATATTTAAAGTTCGTAGTCAAATTAAACATTTTCTTAAATACCGTGATTATACACGAATCGAAGAATTAAAAGCCATTCAAGCACTCGAAAAAGAATTAGCTTATATGATTGACAACTATAGTGTATTATCAAGTATGAGTACAGTCGCGTTAGAGAAACGAGTGTCTGATTTGATCTATATCGTTTTTGTTATTGTGATTCTAGAATATTTCGAAAAATCGACAAAAGATGAACGATCACAAATTACAAAATTGACAGACGAAAAAATTGAACAAAAAAGGAAAACAGTCTCTGAGGTAAATCAGAACGTTGAGTTCATGCATAGCAACAGGAAATATCAGAATCCTCTCGTTTTTAGAGGGTAGCACTGGGACTTGACAGATATACAAAAAAAATGTTGAGTGAAAATGAATATATGAGAAAAGAAGTAAGTAGAACAATTGAAAAAATTTAATCTTATGATTTAACCGGGTGAACATTTTTAATTTTAGATTGCAACTCGTAAACAAGAATTACGAGAATTAGAGGATTACTTGTTCGATTTAGAACAGAAGAATATCGATATGTCTGAAAAATTGAATATAGCCCACAGAACAGATACTGTTACCTATGTGTAAGTTTTAAGTTAGAGAAAAACCTAAAAGATGTGTACGAATGATAGAAGATACATTGTTCTAGAAATACATTTATGACAGAGTTTAATGATGATATGATTACAAATTTTGACAGAGATTCATCCCTAGAAGTTGATCTTGGACAACTATCATTACGAAGCAACCAGGAACACCATACATTTAACAAAGTGTTAGGTAAATGCTTTAAGTATATTACATAAATATTATGATACATCTTGATTCTTTACTATAGATAATATACTGGAAAATACTACAGATCTGACTAACGAAGAAGAGGTAAGTTAAGAAATAGCTTAAGTCAGCTATAGTTCAATCGTATTATTGATTGTTCTTTTAGACAATCGTTTCACCAACAACAACATTATGTTTGGAAGGCACTCGAATGCATATGATTCCACCTCCACAATTGAGTGAAGAAGAAGATAAATTTTCGGAATTTAATCCACCAACATGGATCGATACACCTCATATTAAACAAGCTTTAAGCAGAATGACTGTATGATAGGATAAAATTTGTATTGTTCTGAACAGTTAATCTCAAATTTTCGACCAATTTTTATTTTCTTCCCAAGAACATACTTTTTTTGTGACTAATTGGATAAGCAATAAAAAATAATCAGGCGTAACTGTTATACTGTTAGTTACCTTCCATAGTAAGACAGTAGAAAGTCCGTGCATGAGAAGGTGATAATAAAAACGAGGTTTTCACAACTGGAATACAAATACAATTCTGACAAAGAAAAGTACTTTTGAACAATTTTTATGAATCAGCAATGCTACATTAACATTGGTTATCTTCGTACTAAAATCCTCGACGTCAAAAATTTCATCAATCTTTAGTGCAAAAAAAATCTACTGTCAGTTTGTCTTTTCATCAATAAATAACATGTTTTGTAGGTAAAAAAAATCTATTCTGTTAGTACAAAAAAGGCTGATACTGAATTCTTTAACATATTCAAAACCTGGTACATTTATTTATATACAATAGCCATCGCTGCAGAAGTATTGCATACATGTAGTATCGTATGATCTTATCGCATGAAGTATCGCATGATCTTAGGATCGACCGATGGCGTCAAATAAAAGACTTATTTCATTACTACCCCCAAGAAGATCAATAACTCTGTAAAAGGACTCGATGATTATGTACAAGTCATTTGTAATTGATATTCTATTACCTGAATACGTTTATTTATCTCCAGTTGCCAATAATTTTTTTTATTAATTCCATTTAAAAAGTCGAACTTTGGCACTATAGTCTACGGATATCTGTCTATTATCTGTTTAAAAAAAGAATGGTATATGACTGTTTTATATATGAACAACTTTTGACAGATAAGCAGAAGCGAGTAGCGGTCATCGCCATTCAAATCAATAGCATGTTTCCATAAGCAGAAGCTTTTTCAGAAGGATGTCTAAAAACAGGTTTTCTAGCTGATATCTAGAAAATCAGATCGTATCTCAGAAATTTGAAATAGGATTATGATTTTTTTATATAGATTTACAGTACTTCGAGCATGGTATCAGATTTCCTTGAAGTCTCAGAACTGGCACTCGAAGATCACTGACAACGTCGGAAACCAGTGAACTATAGGTAATCGACCACCATGAGTCTCGTGATAGCATTTGTTATTAGAGAAACATTTAAAAGCTCGACTAAAACCAAGTTCTACAAAAACTAGAGTTTTCAGACTGTTTTCATCGAATATTAAAAAATTCATAATTCAATCGAAAAACATCAGAACAAGCCCAAAATGTCAGAATGTATAGTATTTAGACGATTTCTTTTGATGATATAATCATATTTATCGGTCAAAATTAACTATATTGTAAAGTTTGGAGCTGATTCTGGTGTTTTTCGACTGAATTATGAATTTTTTAATATTCGATGAAAATACTCTGAAAACTCTATTTTTTGTAGTACTTGCTTTTCGCCGAGTTTTTAAATGTTTTTCTAATTACCATATTTGTATTACTGGTAACAGCAACAGTAATGTACTCTAGTGAAGATCAGATAACAGGACAAGAATATTCGTCAAAATGCACATGTCAGACAAGATTCTATCAACTGTAACTAATTTTCACTCTTCTTCATTCTTTTAGTATTTGACACTTTGAGATGTGAAGTTTGAGACGAAAAGAATTGAAAATAGTTCTGTATACAGTGAAAAATCAGCTAAAGACGTTTTGGCCATTTCTACATTCTCATTTTGCTAATTAATTCCAAATCGCTTTATTTGATTTTTCACTATTATAATTCCGTAAACATTTTCTTGATGTACCTTTGAGTAGCTAAGGCGTTAGTTTTTTTTTCTAAAATTTATACAAGTAAAAAACCTATGAAAAAGCAACAAAAACAAAAGTAAACTCTTAAGCCGATGCAGCGGACGATGATGTACTTGAGTTGGATATAGGTGGCGTTGTTTGCCTTGAATTGGGTGTATTTGATCGTGTATTCGTATAAGCAAATGAACTACTTGCTGTTAATGTACACAATTGATAAAAATCTGATTTAAAATCGTGTGTTAGTAATAATAGATTATCTTGTTGCTGTTTAGTACTATCTGGTGTTAACAATAATGGTGGCGGTTCATCTTTTTCTAATGATGATGGATGAGGAAGTGAATAATCAATATTATCAAGATCATCGTATGACCATGGATACTCATATATTTGTTGTAATAATTGTTGTCGTTCAAGTGCAATCTGTTGATCATAATGATGATGATGTTCATCATCGGTAAAACTTAGACTAGATAGTTCATCATCATCAAGACACATCTAAATAAAACATATGACATCTTGTTATTATACCCACAGTGTAATTAAACGACAATTATAATGTTAATACACTGAAGAGAGTATATATATCAAGATATAATCAGTGTTTGTCATTTGCATTCATCATCATTGGATACGACAACTCTCTGACGTAGAAACTACAGGGATGATTCTGTATTCAGCTAAAATCCTTGGAAATGGCATCTGGCGTGATTATATAACTGCTATCGGAGTGAAATTATGGAGCGAAATTTTGATATTTACATTTTTTTAACGAGAAAACGAATGAAGCTGCGTAATAATCTACAAACTTTAGAGTAAACTTTTCTGAATTAAATGAGATATCACTTGTTCTGGAAATACAAAGAAGCTATTTTTTTAAAATAAAGTCTGAGAAGGATATTCTGTACTATTTTGCACGAAAGACTGTTTAGAGCACAAAAATATTTTATTTATCTAAGAAACGTTTAACTGAAGATATTGTGGAGCTTCATGCATTTTTTCGTTATAAGATTAGAAAATTTTTACTCTGGTTGCAGATTTATATATCCTTGCCGATTTGAAGATCTATCTATATTAACTTACCATTTGACTTGTTCCAGCATCATTTTGATTATATTTTCTCATTGGTATTGGTGTTAATCGTCGTTGTTCGTTTTCTTCTTCATCATCGAACATTGCTCGATACTCAGCAAATCGAGTTTCCCAACAATCTTGTGACCAGGCTCTTAACTCTGTTTCTGAACCGTACGTTGACAACAAATTCAATTCAATGCTGTGCTCTCTTATAGTATCCATATGATAAACATTAGTGCGTAATTCTTCTTCTTTTAAACATACTTTTCGATAAATATCCGAATCGGATAATACTCGTCTGAGAAACAGGAGGCGTCCGATAATACCGGGAAAGACAAGACGTTTTTCAGGTTTAATTAAGTGGTGTAGATAACGAGTGCCAAGAGAAAATTCGGCTTCACGTTTTTCATAGTCCATAAATAATTGATTTATATCCGAGCATGTACTATCCGTTGAATCATCATTATTGTCCGTATTGCATTCCATTTGAACTGATGATGCTACAAGAATCTTATCAAACGTTTCTGAACGCGGCAGTGCTTGATCCTTTTCATCAGTAGTACTATTTGTAGTTGTTCCGGATGACAATGTTTGTGGAGGTCCATCAGATGATGTTGAACAGCAACATGCTTCATCAAGACTATCTGCTGATAGTTCTTTAACGAGAGTAGTCGGAACAACATGTTCATTCGTATTAGTCGTTTTGTGACTAGGGTTTCGACGATTTGTTCGTACAAATGGACAAATAACGTTTGAATCATTTTCCAATTGTTTTTTAAACTGTTCAAGTTCGTCGACAGGTATGAATGGACCTTCAACAAATAATGTTCATAGAAAAACAATCTTCTTACCGTGATTAGGAAGCTCATACTACATACCTTCACAAGTCGATATAGTTTTCTTGGTAGTCATAATTTGTGGTTGTTTCACCGGTTTTTTAGTCGTCGTATTTGTATCCAACCAATTATTAACATCCCGATTACTGTCATTACTGTTTTTAGTCGTCATGCTCCGTTTTAAACTATCAAATGACACATCTCTGATATCGGAAGACATTGTTGAATAACCTTCATCCCCTATTCGTTGTTTTTCTTCGATACTTGATTCACTTGATGTTGTATTCATTTGTATGTCTTGTTTTTGTTTACTTTCATCGGCAATATCCGTCGTTTCTATTATCCATGAAACAGCTTTATCCGTTTTCATTACTACTGGTTGTGATGAAAGAGGTGTTGATATTTTTGTTCGTTTTGGATTAGAACCGCCTGTTGTTGACGATCGAGAATGAACAGTAGTGTTTTCTTTCGATTTTATTCTAGGAGAAATCGATGTACGTTTCAAATAATTAGTGTGTATAGGTACTACTGGCTGTTTTTTGACGGTTGTAATTCGATTTATTGGTACAACTTTTTTTGAAAGACCTTTTGTTGTAGCTAGTTTTGTTTGTGTAGTTAATGTCTGCTTTGGTTTTGGTTGTAGTACGGGTAATTTAGATGATTTTTGCGAAGATGAGAGAGACCGAGTTTGCGATGGTTGAGATTTTGTAAGTGGTGAAGATTCAATGTTACGAGTATTAACAATTGTTGCACGACGATAAGGTAAACGGGATGTTCGAGTTGTGCTACTAGCTGCGAGTGATCGTGTTGTACTACAACGTTGAATTTTTGAATTGTGATCGTCTTGTTTATTGACTGTCATTGGTCCAGCCGTAATTACTTCGACGACTGGTGGCACTTTTCCAATAACAAATGTTTCTGAACGTTGCAATAATTGTTGATTGTCAGTAGAAGATAGTAGAAGATTATTTGATTCATCTATAAAAGTATTAGATTAAAGATTTATAAACATGTTGTTTATATTCTTTAATCTACTTACTAGAATGTTTTTCTCCTTTGTTTTGTTCTTTACATTCTGTACCTTGAAAAAGACAAGTAATTTAGATAGCGAGAAATACAAATATCGTAGGCACGCACTCTCTTTTCGTATTTGATGAGTTGAATGCTGTGTATTCGATAATGGTGTGGAATATGTTGTTTCTTTGTCATAGAATGACTAAAACAAAAGAAAATTAGGATTACACAACAAATCTTTTTAATAGAATGCAATTTGTTAATTGACGTATTTCACTAAACCTGAAACTCTCTGTTTATAGTGTCAACGTAGTCATGAAATTTTACCTCTATTTAGGCAATAATCAAAACATTATCTCATAGTTTATTACAGTTTCACTGTAATTATCATGTATCAAACGAAAAATAAATATTCTATTTCATTTTATTTCACTTAATACATATCACAGTCTTTTAATTACCAAATCTAGAGTCCAACTTCCTGTTGTTGAAAAACTGCATAATGTTGTCGATGATGTTGAATATGTATCATCTGCACCTTTTTCTTTCTTATTATTACAAAATTGTTTAATAAAATCAGATGTCGTTGTTGGTGGCGTTTTTTTTCTTAAATGACAATCTACACACGATTGAGTTAATTCACACGGTGCAAATGACGATTTCTTATTCTATAATATAAAGATATTTTGTGTTCATAAAATCAAGTAAGAAATATTATTAATAACTGGTTATACCTTTATTTGACTTGAACTGTTAATATTGTTACTATTTATCGTTTCACATGATACACTACGTAATGATTTTTTGTTACCCTTTTTTCTACACCAGGATAACTGTATACATAATAGAATATACTTTCAATGTCATCATTATTAAACATGCAACAAACTTCTACCTACTTGATTCAATAGTGAACGTTTCGATAAATCATCAATAATTTGATAAATTTCATTGCATTCTTTTCGAATACTCTAAACAAAAATATCGACAATATTGAACATATAGAAAAACGAGTATTATATAATATAACTAACATTTTTATGATTTAATAATAGAATAAAGTATGGATACATCCTTTCGACCATAATATATGAGTATTCTAAGATTTTTATCAATACTCCACATTTCGAAAACTGATATTCAAGGTGGATCTTTGTATCAATAACTCAAAATTTGACATAATATATTTCTGGAAATGATAGAAATTTTGTCCTATCTCCAGAAATTAGTAATAAGACGACAAATTCTTGTTCAAAAAATGTTGATTCATAAAAGTAGTCTTAATGGTAAGAAATAGAAGCGTGAGAGGATGTTTTTTTTTTACGTTCGAGATGACCTAGATCAAAGTTAAAGAGACAAACATACTATCCTTTAGGGATGAAAATACGTCGTAGATACCTTGTAGTTTCATTTCCTAATTTTAAAAAAGTTAATGAAAAAATTATCTAATTTAGTCTTTAATTGGCTCTTGAATGTTCAAAAGATTTCAGCATGACACCATTTCTTTGTCTACTGAGAATAACGACATAGTCTGTCTACTTTAAATAGAAGAAGAAAAAAAAGGTGTTTATTGACCATTAACTTAATTTTCTTCTAACAAAAATTATTTTCCTATTCGTCACGGGAGGGCTCCTCAGAACACTTAACAACATTCCAGTTGAATAAATTTGTAAGAGTTAAGTTTCTGTACAGACGCGATAAGTCTGTTTGCAAGATGTGAATGAATGACACTGATGACCGTTAATAAAGAATACTTGAACAAAAAATATAGAAGTAGACTGTATGTCTGACTGTTCGTTATTGTAAAAAGGTTATAACAATCAATAAAAATTGTACGAGGTTTATTGAATGTTTCAAAATACACCACCATCACCTGTACAGATGGCTTAATATCAAATGTTTCATATTCAATTAACTTTAGTGTTAGATGAATTTCGAATGAATAAATAACTATAACATCTGTATATATGTGATATCCAACATTGTATATTACTTTCACGACTTTACAATCAATTTTTTTCCAAAAATATCGTTTATAATGTAAAAGTCAGAATTATTACTCCTAATGCGTAACCATGAGATATAATGAAAATTTAGGAATTCAATAATGATTTCATGGAAAAGTTTAAAGTTTTACTGTGCTATCTGTCAAGATGTAACTTTATGTATTATTGAAGAGGCTTAAAATCTTTGTGAAGTCAGAAATATAACAAGGTTTTTTAATCGCGTTTCTGTTACAAGTATACTATTTTACAAGAAAGTAGTTTTATTAGAAACACGTACAGTAAAAAAAGATATACAGCTATATACTTATACTTAGAATATATTTACTTCATATTGACTATAAGAAAAGCAGCTTTTCTTACCACTATCCATACCTTATTTATTGAAACATCATTTTCTTACAAAGTCTTTTTATTTCTGATCCTGTTTTATTTGAGAACGAAAAAGAGAAAATTAAAAAATTTTGATCTGAGATAACGCTAAATAAAATGATTATCTTGACATAAAAAGAAGATTTGTCAGAGATTTGATCAGTTCAAAAAAAGTTCAAGGAAAATGTGAGTATTTCTGCAACAACTATCTGAAACTATGTGCTTACGATTAGAAACATTGATGTCTTTGGTTTCATCTTTCTACAACTGATATTTCTTCGAATATACAATTTCTCATTTTTCTTCGTTGTACTAATAATGACCATATGCACTATACTCACACACTTCTAGAGATTTTTCTTGATTAGAAATTTAATTCCATCTAAGGGCAAATGAATACAAAACTTTTGATGGGTCACAACTGTTTTCTTCATTTTCTTCTTTTCTTTGTTTGTTCACTCATATTTATAATCATAATCAAAACGTTAAATGAAGAAGCAATGTCCGGTAATTTCTTTTTCTTTCTTCTCTCATCGCATCTGCTTTTCTTGTTCATTTCTCATATGTACAATATACAAGAAAGAAACTAACTATTTCAACTTGAAAACATTCCATGTTGAATTCATTTATGAAATTAAATGCTACATAGATACAACAAATATACGCACAGAACAGTATTTAATCTGAATATAATTGCTCTATGCCAAGACTAATTATTGATCGAAGCAGAAGATAACTCACTCTCTCTATTCAATGATTATATATTAAAATTTTCTTGAACTCATTACAACAGAGATAATAATAAACCTCCAACAGCACATCTTACAGGATAATATTCATATTACAGTAATCATTTAACAATGCTGTTTTTTTCCCTGAGGTTACATTGACTTTTAAGTGAATCTTTATACAAGATTCTTTCAATATTATTTAGAATACGTCAGTTAAATAACTAATCTCAATTCTTTTTCCAGACACATATTAACCCTCTTACTATTATTGAACAGTATGATATAACTTTTGTGTATGTTACTTCTTTATTACTTAACGTAACATTTTTGGGGGTAAATATACGATATGGTTCATAATGAACAATGTTAATTTCTATTTTAGCACTTTTTAAAGGTCAACAATTTTCTCTTTTTTTACCAAAGAAAATATAGATTATTGTATTGTGTAACAAGTTAATAACAATATCGATATCTGTTCTTTAAGCAACAATATTCCATCAAATCACGAAGAAAGATGTTAAGTCTTTCAGTATATTATCACATATATGCCATGTGTTTTACTGTATCATTTTGTGTCCCTTTTAGGGCTCTTTAGCAAAAAAATAAAATAAAATACAAATGACACATCACCTTGATGTAAAGAGAAATAATATCGTACTTTTCATAAGATTTCTTCATTTAAGTTCCTCTTATCTATCATTAGGCATAATAGCATTTCGTGAACTAACAGACATGACTCTATAAACTCATTTACATAAAAAAAAATAAACTTCTATCATAAAATATACAATATTTTATATGCTAAATATATAGAAAAAAATGAACAATCACTTTCTATTATCTTACCTGTTGCATAAACAATGTACGAAGTACCATTTGTGTAACATTACCCAAAAACATTTCATATTGTTTTCGTTGATAACGATTTTCATCAAATAATCGTAAATTTTCATCTTCTAATTTTGATATATGTAATTCTAACAGTTCACATCGACGATCAATCACATGTCTTGTACACTAGAACAGAACAAAATATATTATAATCTATCATTGTTATTCTCATATTTATTTTTTTGTTTTTTGTTGAACACACTCAAAAAGAAGTAGACGATTATGTTATGATAATTGAATTATACACTATCATAGTTCAAACACAATAGTCTCTATTACAGTCTAACCAAAGTCAACTGATTGAATAATATGGTGATATTATGTATAAAACCTACCATGTTTGATTCTTTTGTGATGAATAATACGTCTAGATATGATTTCTTGTTCTCCTCCTGATCTGGAAATTATTATGTATAATATTATCACTAAAATCTCAATTCTTTTATTTTGATCTTATACAATTGATGTAAAGATAGTGAACATTATGACTGGCATCATTTATCGTTCATTCAATAGAGTATCTCATTTTTGTTCATATCTCTCTATTGAAAATAATGATTGGATCTTAGTTAAACGAAGACAAATGTCTATAACTATGTTATCACTGCAGTTTCACGCTTTGGGATTTAACAACTGTCTCTGTTATTGTCTAGCTTCTTAATTAAATTTGACTCCGACAACCGAACTATTTCCAGAGAAAAATTCTCAACGAAATAGCAAAAACTAAGTTAACTAAACTACCACTTTATTTTTCTCGTAGATCATAGAAAATTAACAACAACAACTACTCAATCTAATACTACTAGATAATTTTCATTTATCTAAAACTACGTTCTCTTTAAAACTGTTAATTTCTTTCATTTTTTTTTTTTCAGAATTAGAATAGGATATCATCGTTACTATTAGTGTGAATTTATTAATTATTAGTGTACATGACGAAACGAATCAATTCATTGAAGTATTTTAGAATTAGAATGAAAAATATTATTTAACTTACAGATTTACTTAGATACAACATGATCAAAGCTGCTACACAATGTTTTTAACTCTTTTTTTTCTTCTTTTGCTTAGTTATGTTTATTGTGTTAGTTTATATTAAAATATGGTCATTAGACTCATCTATCCGTTCAATTCCTTGAACGATCATTTTGATAACATCAAAAATAAATAGATGAACAAATAGAGTAGAGAATTAATGATTGTTATAACCTTGTATTTAACTTACTACATAGTAGGCAGGTAGATAAAAGGGTTCAGATCAAGGTTAGCGATGATGAAAAACGTTTTTTATTAATTAATTATCTACTATTTTTATCTATGGTCATTAATCGTCAAAATGAATCCACTACAGTTTTTACCTTCATTGCATGTTTAGTCGAATCTCTCTAATTCTATCTTCTAATACATCTAATAACAACGGGCACTCTTCTTCTTTTTTTTTATTTAAGAAGGTCGTGTTTTTTTCGCAAGAAAAATAAACGAGTTCATTGTCAAATAATTATACCTATTTGAATACTCATTAAACTATCGTGATAAAATAAAAAAATGTACATATTCACACACAACAGAAAAGAAAAATGAAATAGAGTTCAAACATCATATATAATACTACATACTAATTCTTCGAGTTGATCAATACGTTTACGTAATTCAAGATTTTCATCTTTCAAGGTTGATACTCTTTCATCGAATTGTTTGATTTTATTCTAAACAAAGAAAAAAAATAATTGAATCAATAAATTTTATGTATGACACAGTATGTGATAAAATCAATTTTCAAAATAGATCACCATCCAATGTTGAACAAAAAATTTTTTTCAATTTTTTAAAATAAACTTAAAACTTTTTTATTTTTTTTAAAATTTTAATTTATGATTTGTTGTCTTTTTCCCAAGGGTTTTTTTTTTTCGTTTTTCGTTTTTTTTTTTTTTTTTTTGTTTCAAATTAAATTTGTCATTCAAACATAATCTTTGCTCACAAATTCACTTACTTCATATGTCGCTGCTATTTTATTTGAATCATCTTGTGATTTATTCTTCCAACGAAGGAAGACACTCATTTTTTATCATGTACACCAATAAAGTTGATTGCACTAAAAAGAAAAGAAATAAAGATATATTAAAAATAATGATATTTTTATCTTATTTCTGAACAGTAAAATAAAATGATATTTATTGAAATAGAAAATAATAATCTACCTGTTTCAAAATGAAAAGTGAATAATATGTGCAGTTCAAAATAAAAAATACTTTCGTGTGTATATATTTTTTTTTCAACTGATGAAAATGAGAGAAGAGAAAGATAGAATTATATTTTATAATTGTAGTAGTACAAAAAGAACATAATACAGATTTCTCGCTTTAAAATGAGTCTGTTCAATTTAGTTCAATACACATGTTCTTTGTCCCTTGTTTTTCTTTCATTTTTTTATTTTCTTTTTCTTTATAAGATCATAATTAATAGTATGCATCACGTTTTTTTTTTGTAATATATGACGATGAAGAAGGAGGAAGGTATTGTCTAGACATCAACAACAACAACAACTGAACAGCTTTATTCTTTAACTTGAATAAGAACAAAAAAATTATCCACAGATTTAAAAGTATCAGTAAGTATTAACTGATTTTTTTTTATATTTTCATAGACCTGATAATTACTAAGCCTAGCCGTTGTAGATATGATTAAAAATTTGACTACATTCATGCTAATTAATGAAATACAAAATATATCATTGTAAATGGAAATGAATAGTGATTCAAAGTCAAACACCTGTTCGAACTTGTCCACGTAACGCCCTAAGTGCGCTACATTTTCTCTCACATTAATTGCGCTATACTTTGGTGCAGAAAGTTCATATAGGGTTCGTCAAAGAGTAAATATTTTTCTTTAAATTTATTATTATGATACATATGTAATATTTGTAAACTGATTTATGTGAATTGAGCGTTTCATCGAAGACTTGTCTATAGACAAGAGATAATCTATCAACATTTATTCTCTCACTAACTAGAAGAAAAATACTTGCTCTTGAATATAAGACGTCTTCCTGCTCTGTATAAGCTTTCTCTAAAGTACTGTAATCTTGAAAAACAGTAGTACTCTTACGAAAAAGTTGAGCTTATTTGCTGGACAGACCGTATTAGACACAAAATTAATCTTTAACATCGATAATAGGCAAAGTTGACTACGTAGATAACACAGAGTCGAAGATATTTTCAAGTAATTGCAACCCTAGCATGCACGCAAACGTTCGAATTGAGACATATTTGAAAGGTCCAAGATAAATTAATTACTTTTCATCTTTTATTACCTCATTTATATCTACTTGATATAGATTTTTAATATCCGGTCATTTTTCTATTATCGTTGTTATTTAATCTTTAAAATAGGGTGGGTAATGTGCATCGTTAATGAGATTTTTATTTCATCACTCACTTACTTACTTATTAGAAGAGTAATAGTTTTTCATATTGAAATGATTTGATTGCTCATTCACTCACTTGTTGCTTACTCTATTTTATTTCATTTTAATGATAATGCCTAACGCACTAGTAAGTATTCAATAGTGTTTGAATAAAATGAAGTGAAAGAGAGAAAGTCAAAAAAAGAAGTAAGTACAGTAGACGTTGATCTTCCGGTGTGTGTGTGTGTACTATTTCTACCTTCTAATGAATGATTACGCAATCTATTCACAGAAAGAGAATATGTCAACTATATTACTTAAGGCAATATCACAATCACAAAGTTCTTGCATGATTGATGTCAGAAAAAGAGAGAATGACCAGCACTGTTCTCTCTCTCTCTCTCTCTCTCTATATATATATATATATGTTATGTATGTTGCAATTAATAAAATCACAACAATCAATCTCGGTCATTCTACCTAATCTTTTATATACACATTTTAAAAATATTATCTTTTTCTTACTTTATATACCATAAGAGAGAAGAGAAGAACAAAAAAACGTTCTATATTTATATATATATTCTTTTGGGGTATGGCAATTCACTTTCACTCTTTATTCTAATCGGCACAAGACAATCGACATCATCTAACCAAACCAGTTGCTGTTGCGCCATTGACAAAATTATACCAGACATAGTGAACAAAGGATGATGATGTTTTATTACGTAAAATAATATAATTGATGTCATATATGTACAAGAATAACAACAACAATAGAGTGAAAAGAATGAATATGTTCTTCTTCTGTTGATAGGATTAAACCATTTGTACTACTTTCACTACAAAAACATACACAGTGAGGTGCATGTTTTCCATCAAATAATAATGATAATTTTTTGTATACTTAAGAAAAAAACATATAAAACTGATTTTTTTTTTTTTGTTGTGAATGAATCCTGAGGTAATCGATTTTTAGAAACAAATGTCCTACTTTGACCTCGTTCGTTTATATAATATTAATCGTATTTGAATAGAAAGATGTGATTGATAATAGTTCGTTGAATTATGGTTTACTACTCAATCCTGATGCAATAATATTCATTTCTTTTATGTATCTTTTAGAAGCCATGATCAATATTTACGCGGGATGTTGAATACACATCTATTTCTAGTGCATATGAGGAGGTGTATATATATTTGAGATTTTAACGCCCTTCTCTATGGCATTTTGTTTATCGGACGATTACAAACATCAATTCTGCTACGTTTACTTTTATGTATGCTAAATTAAATTGTTGGTCACACTATTAAGTAGTAAAAACTCGTTTAACAATATGAGCCCGTAAAAAAAAGAAAACCTCTTGACATACTATTTAACTTATTTTTATCTTCAACGCCTCGAAAATTTTCTAGATCCCTGTGTCTGTTTCCGAATCATTCATTCATCTTCAATGAATATCTTAATTAGTTCAGTATTTCGTACGAAAATGTGACAAACGATTGGAATGTACATGTTTTTTTTCTCAAACAATTATCAAATTTTGTATACTTACCATTTTAAGTAATATATATATGACACACACATACAGAATTCTTTTCTGTTTAAATTAAGATGAGAGAGAAGAAAATGATCTTCTCTCCATTGAAATGATTGCTCATAACATGTGTTCTTTCCGTATCACACAGTCAGTTTCACTCAGTCAACTTTTTATATGCTTTGCTATTGTATATTCTACTCTAACTGTACAAATCTTTTTTCTTTCTTTTTTTTCTTTCTTTTCTTCTTGTTCTCTAGTACAATTACAATAGATCTTTCTACTCATAAAAAGAGTGTCATTTGGCATGTACATCCTCATCTTCCTGAAACAAATATCAACTCATTTTCTTCTTCTTCTTGTTCTAGGTAGGCGTATTGCGTTTATTACTCTATTCCTTATTAGTTTTCTGTCGTTGTTATCAAATACCACCATGTGGATATGTATGATTATAGAAAAGTTCTGGTTGTTGTCGTCAATCTAACCATGCCAAATGGTGATTGTTTTGGCCACAGAGGAATATAGATCCATTCAACATCAATGTTGAAACTTAATGGAGGAAATTATATTCACAACAGACAAGCGAGTTTTCTCTTTTCTTTTTTTTTTTGATCAATTCGTAGTTTAAGATGTTCAATTTCCTCACTCTCTTGTCTATGTATCAATTACTATTGTTATAGAAAATTTGACATAATAGAGAAAGAAAGATAGAAACAAATATTGTAGAGATTAGAACTTGTGTAACGAATATGTCTACATGAGTAAGTGTAGAAAATTAGTTGATAGAAAAATGTGAGGGATAAGCGACCATTTCCATAAATGCCTATGTAGATTTAATAACATGCTAATGAAGTCGAAATTTATTATTATCCTAGATCAGATTCAACTGTTATTATCAAATGGAACATTTTTCACTGGTTACCAGATTCCAAGAATTTTTTTGATGTGTTTTTAACATAATGCAAACCAATGGATGAAATGAGGATCCCTCATTAAAAAAAGGCTCTATAGGAGGCAATATTTACAGAACAATTGAGCAAAAATGTGCTACCTAGCCTATAACGTACGTCATACGGCCGTTCTATTAGATACAATTAAAACACTTACGGATGTAAATATTAAAGACACCAGAGTTTATGCATTTCTAGCCTAAGTACATGTAACGGGTAGGCCAGTAATAATGACGCACTTTTGTTCCTTTTCTTACGAGCACAACTGAGGTTCGAAGATTCCATTCTAAACTCATTTGACAGAGAATTTTCTGCTCTACAAAATTCATTACCTTCTTTCATTAAATATTATTTCATTATTTTAAAAAATAGTGCAGAGTACTGACAAGTAAAAAGTATAACTGCGATTTTCTATCAAAATTTTGATCGCTTTTGGTTTTTGTATAACTTTTCGAGAAATAATATGGTAATTACAGAAGAAGGTGGTATAAAAATGTTCAGCGAATTGGGCGCTATCATCCAGACTACTCTACTTATTCGTTTGGTCACCCAAATTGTGAAGCTTTCACTACACAAGTTAATCTGTACTTTCGGGTAATGTGGATTTTGGAAAAAGCAGGAAAAGGACTAGCCATACAACGCAGCAAAAGTATGCGTTATAGGATTTTGTAGAGTAGACAATTTTCTATCTTCTGAAGTCAGAACGAAGTCTCGAAGCCATACGGGATATAGATAAAAATAGATAGTTGAATAACACCATAATTTCAGGATCATCCGTTCTTAGTGGCAATATGTTAGGAAAAATTTGATTTCTCAATGCGGATTAATTAAATGAAGACGAATTTTTTACATAAAGTACCTGTGACGAATAGCTATCAGAAGCGTTATTAAATAATCAATTAGGTCAACTACAAAAATAAGTATAACCTGTTCCTCCCGTCGCAGTTATACTTTTACCTGTCAGTATTCTACACTATTTTTTAAAATAATGAAATAATATTTAATGAAAGAAGGTAATGAATTTTGTAGAGCAGAAAATTCTCTGTCAAATGAGTTTAGAATGGAATCTTCGAACCTCAGTTCGGAAGAAAAGAGAATAAAAGTGAAGTGCGTCATTATTTCTGGTCCACCCGTTAATGTTTATGTCTTTAATGGAAAACATTCATTT